TGAGTCTCCGGTGGCCGCTCCAGCCCAGCCTGTTCCCTCCGGAACCTCCGCGGCCACGGTGTCGCGGGTACGGGCACTATTTGATTTCCAGCCCTCCGAGCCCGGTGAATTGCAGTTCCGCAAGGGAGATGTTATTGCTGTTCTGGAATCGGTCTACAAGGATTGGTGGAAGGGTTCCCTGAGGGGCCAGACGGGAATTTTCCCTCTCAACTATGTCGAGAAGTTGCCCGACCCTACGGTCGAGGAGTTGCAGCGCGAAGCTCAGATGGAGGGGGAGGTCTTCGGGCAGATCAAGAACGTCGAGAAGCTCCTCACACTTCTGAGCACTCGTAGTTCCGAGCTCAATGTGCAGGACAATGAGGAAATTACGACTCTATACCACTCGACCTTGGCAATCCGGCCGAAGTTGATCGAGCTCATTGGCAAATACTCCCAGAAGAAGGGTAGGTGTTCTTGCACCCGGTGTTTGGCATTTGCACTTGCTGATTGGACTATAGATGAGTTTACGCAGCTCAATGAGAAGTTCATCAAAGCCCGCCGCGACTACGAATCGCTCTTGGAGGCGTCGATGTCCCACCCTGCACAACCCCAGTATGGACGGCCGGCTCAAGCTCCATACGGATATCCAGCTCCAGTAGGATATCCGCAAGCCCCGCCCCAGGCTGACCCTCAGCGATACTTCAGTCCTCGTCCTTCAGGTTCGCCTATTACTTCCCCCATCGGGTGATTCCGCCATCTAACATGAGAACAGAAGCCCAACCTGCGCAGTCCACTCCTACCCCTTACTATGGAGGAGAACAAGCTCACGCGTACCCTCCCACTTCACAATCCCCTGATCCGCGTGTCACACCTCCCGCGGGCGCCCCGTATCAGCAACAGCAGCGCCAGTCCTCGAATGAGTTCTACCAGCCCACACACCACCGCCCCGAGTCGACATATGACAATCCCCAAGAATTGGGCACTTCTGTCTACGACTCTCCTGTCGAACATCGCCCTCAGTATCCCGGACAAGTCCTACCGCCAACTTCTGCGCAGCCACCTTTCCCGGCTCAGCAACAGCAACAACAGCAGCAGCAGCCGGAGTTCCCACCATCTTCTTACCCTCCTGAAGACGCCAACCGACCTCCAGCCGGAGCCAGCGCCCCCCACCACCAAGCACAGCCCCCCTATCCCACCCATCAACCAGCTCCGATGCACCAGCCTCCTCCAGTGGCAGGCACAGCATCCACTCCCACACCTTACCCTTCTCTGACCCCCGGCGGAGGCTCTTACCAGGCATACAGCCCCTCGCAAACCGATGTGTCCAACCCTGCTTCGTACTACCGGTAAAGCATGTTTGATATTGAGTTGACGGACTGTTGTGGTATGGGAGGTTTTCTCCTCCTGGTGTTCCTTGCTTGTTGATCAGGCTCGAGATCGGGTAATGGAGAGGCGGTTTGGAACTGTTCCAGTAGTATGAGCTTTAGCAAGAAGATGTTTGAGCTTTTCCAGTTTCATACCACTTTGTGTTCCATAGCGTTTGTTTTCTGTTGTTGCAAATGATTTTCCATTTGGTTTTGATGATCGTGGCTGTTTTTATGGAAGAATGACCCAACATGTCACGTAGCATGTAGAGGGTGGAATTCTGGTCATCGCTCTACATCTCGGTATGGATTATTAGTGACGCAGATCTTAGGTTAGTAGTCTATCCGATCAGGTCAATCGGGATGTAGCTCAGGAGTGGCCCAATCAAGTCCAAACGCGCGACACTGCATCAATCCATAAGTGCACTACAGCTAACCACTTAAGGCTCAGTGCTTACGCACTTGAAGGTGGAAGAGAAGCTACCTAACCTTTGGAGCCTTCTTAATTTCACCACCTTAACGGCCTCAACAATCATCATGGTCAAGAAAGCTGAGTTACGGCGGAGTTGCACCTTCTGTCGCGCCCGCAAGATCGCCTGTTCTGGCGAGCGCATTTGCACGGCATGTCGCGATCGATCTATTGAATGTGTTTATGGCCTAGAGGGGACCAAGGGCCGTCCTCGCCTGGGTAAAACCTCGCCAGGTATACCTGCTGCTGCTGCTGCTGCTGCTGCTGCTTCTCCTGCTCCTACTACGGCTGCTGCTGCTGCTGTTACCACCACTACCACCAGCCTGGCAGCAGAACTGGATGTCATGTTTCGCGAGAACTTCAGTGATGATGACTCCACTGCCCCTGCTCCATCGAATATATTCCAAGACCGGGTAGCCACCTTTAATAGGCGTCTTATGGCAGGGAGGACCAACAGCCCTCAGCGCTCTGCCTCCGCTCCGATAGGGAGTATCAGTTACTCGGGCTTTTTAGCTCTGGTCATGCAAGAGTTGATTGAAACTGTCGCCGTCAAATTCAGCAACCTAGGCTGCCATCCCTTCTTCGGACCCGGGGAGAGTTTTTATCACGCCTCCATGCTGCAGGACACAATCAAGGCGATGTTCGATAGTCCCCCGGCCTCCTCCTCAGACCTGGATATATGGGATGACTATAACCCGCATCTCACCTCCCAGTATCTCGAGGTCTGGTTCAGTAATCATCCCTTATCAATCCTCATCTCCAAGTCACTTCTTCTCCGCGACCTGCGCAGCCAGAAGGCCAATCGGATATTGTTGGCGATCCTGCTGGCGGACGCCCATCACTTTGCCGAGGAATCTGGCAAGGGAGATCGCCTGGTGCAGTGGGCCATCGCGCAATTACCCAGTGTTCCTGCAGGGAAGGGGGATCTCACCACCGCGCAGAGTCTCCTACTTCTGGGCTGGTACCATGCCTGCCGCGGGCACTCGCGCCGGGCATTATGCTATGTGGGATACGCAGGCCGTATCATCACGACGTTGAAGTGCCAGCTGTCAGAGTCGTCTTCAGCCGGGCAGACGCACATCAATGGTGTTGATCACGGCGCAGTCGAGGCAGAGCTGATTCACAACATATGCTGGGTGATCTTGGCCCTCACGCTATGGTCGTATCTCCAGATGGATATGCCTTTGGTAGATCTCCTGCCCGCGCGGCTCATGCAGGTACTCCCTGCCTTTTCAGAGGCCGAGTCGATGCTGCTCCAACTCGATCGAGCAACCGAGAACCTCTCTACCCTGAAATCGCAGTTCTCTTCCTTGCAGTCGGTGTGGCTGCTGGCACATGTCACCTCTTTGAGCGCGCGTCTGTACGCCGTCTATCCACGACCCCAAAGCAGCCCGCCGGTGCCGCAACCGTGGCAAGAGTCGATACTGCACCGGCTCGATCGCCTCCTGCACCAAGGCCGCAGTCTGGCGCAGGTTTGCGCGGGGGCCCGTAACGCCCTACTGGACGTCGTTGCGACGGTGCAGCACGAATCGGGTGATAGCTGGGGTGGTCCGATACTGCGTGTTTTCTACCAGGCTGTTGCTTTGCATCTACTCTTCCCACGAAAAGAGATGGGGAACGACACCGCACAGGTTCTTGTCCTCAGCGAGTCGCTCTTTGAACGGCTCACAACCTCTATGCATGATTTGAAGCAGCTGTTCCCCGCGGTTCAAGCCCTCTCGCAACATCACTTTGGCCACGCAGTTAGCACGGACTCCGCCTCGCTTCATTTCTACATGCTTGGCCTGGATGCTGTCAGTCGAGCTCTCATGTATATCCTCACTCTCTGGGACCGTGCCACGACGGTGGATCAGCAGCTCTGGCGGGATAGGCTTCTCAGGCTTTTAGAAGGGGGGCTGATGATGCAAGAGCTCTTCGATCACGAGACTCTCTTGAAGGATTGCCGATGGCGCGCAGTAAACCGTCAGCTCAAGACCGCTTGCAGCAGACTCGAGGGGGTGATTTCCAGCTTCCGAGATCAGTCCTACCACAGCTTTTCTGGTGCATTGGACCTCAATCTGCCTTTGCAGCAGATACCGGCCGCGAGCGATCTTGCCACAGCGCCGATGTCTTCGTGCTCGTCGCTCGTGCCCGTCGCCCATGATGCGGACTTCGAGTGGCTGGACTTGCAAGACGTCACGAGCCCCCCAACCACGGCGTCCGACTTGCGAGACTTCGCCCTCGCATCGTTGGCCAACCCCGTCCCCGTTCTGTCATTGAATCCGCTTGACTCCCTGCCCGGCGTGACTGGGCCATCCTGTCTGGTTCAACCAGGCCAGACTGCTATGCCATTTAGCTTGTCATGGGACGATGCAATCATGAATTCTGTATCTCAACCGGTGAGCGTCATGCCATCGCCGTCGTCGGTCTCGCTGGGTGGTCTTGGTCCGAGCAGCCAGGAGAGCCAGAGGAAGCGATCGTCGAACGCTCTCAGCGGTGTGGAGGAGGGGGGTGCGTTGGGGATGAGCCGGGTAGAGGAACCGAAGACGAAGCGATTAAGGGAGTTGCGCTCACATAGCGCCTCTCATTGAGCAGGCGTGTATTGGATGGTGTTGTCGGTGTAGATGTCTGTCCTCGGTATTAGTTGCTGAGGAGGTTGTAAGCTGACGCTGCTCGGACTTTGTATGGGTTGTTTTTCCATGGCTGATTAAACCTCCGTCGCGCCACGGAGATCCGGCGGGATATCGTATACAGGTATGTATACGTATATACCTATTCATCCCCAGCCACAGCATCGGCAACCGTACTTCGTACATGGATTGTGTGTGCTCTTTCTACTCGAGAATCCAAAACAAAGGACTGCTAGGAATTGGTGGTATGCAACTTGCACTGCAACCGATAGCCCTGAAGCTTGACCCAACCCAAGTAAGGCTCCTGCGGCATTTGCTTCTAGTTTAGAGACTTAATCAAGCTTGTTTAGGGCAAACAAAAATCTACACGTAGCGCATGTTGTGGGCATCAGCATCGATTGCTCCTTGATATACCGTCTTATCACAAGGCCAGTAAGCACGCCATTAGCGCTGCTTACAGCGATAGCTAGCTTGCAGTAAGCTGTGCACCCTGGTCATCTCAGTCAATCAGTCCTTCGAGTACCTACATTCCCATCACTCTCATTGCTACCACCACCCTCAACATACAAGATAGAAAGCCATGCCCCCATTCTACGCCCCCGAAACCCCCGATCGCATCAAAAACGCCACCGTACACCCCTCCTCCCTAGCTATCCAAACACTCCCAAATACTAACAACACAATAAGGGCCTCCACCTCATCACCGCCCTAACCCCCAACGGCCGCAAAGCCCACATCTACCTCGAGGAGCTGAAAGAAACCTACGGCCTCCCCTTCACCATCAGCCTCATCGACCTCGACACGAACGAGCAGAAGAAACCATGGTTTCTGCGCTTGAATCCGAATGGCCAGCTTGCTTGCTTGCTTGTTTGCCTTTGCCCTGCCCCAACCCCCAACAATCCCAAAACTCCACATGCACCAGGCACTGCACTGCATGCAACAAGCAAAGTCCCCTAACCTCATCCTTAATTCTGCGTGAGATAGGCCGCATCCCCCTCCTAATCGACAACACCACCACCCCGCACCCACACGTCGTCATGGAGTCCTCCGCTATCCTGCTGTACCTGTTCCATCAGGTCGATCATTCCCAGAAGTTTGGGTTCGCGGATCCGCAGCAGCAGAGTCAGCTGCTGCAGTGGCTGGTCTTCTGGGGTGCGTCGGGGCAGATGGTTCAGGGGCAGTGGAATTATTTCCGGCGGAACCAGGTCGAGAATGATCGTGAGTGTTTCGCCCTGACCCTTGAAATCGGGGGGTTCGGCTCGACGGCTTGGGCTCTAATGCTGGCCCTAGACGCGAAGAAGCGATTCCACGATGAGTTACTCCGCGTGTTTCACGTCCTCGAAGCGCATCTCGCTGGACGGTATGCGGATCCCGGACTGGGAAGGGAGTACCTGGCGGGCCAGGGGAGGGGGAAGTATACGTTGGCGGATATGAATGCTTGGCCGTGGGTGAGGAATTTTAGGGCTGTTGGGCTGGAGGAGGAGGAGTTGGACAGGTTGCCTGCGCTTGCGGCGTGGGTGGATAGGGTTGGCGGGCGGGCGGCGGTGCAGAGGGGCGCGTTTGGGGAGGCGTATGATGAGGAGGCGTCACCTGAGTTGGTTATTCGGACGTGATCTACACTGTAGGCTTGGGAGGTGGTTATCATTCTTGCTAGTAGCGAGATGGTGGGCTGCGTGGCGATGGTTACAGTATACCGCCCTTATCCAGCTATATGTATGCACGTTGAAGTTATACATGTTGTGTTAATTCGGTTTGCCTGTAGCTGTATATGACCGATGTAACCTTTTATACATTGTATACACACAGGTATGCCAGGAATTGCTCTAATGTGTACAACGTACAGAGCAGCTTTTTATACTGTTTTCTACTACGGCTTTGTGGTGGGATTGCTTCGGTTTATACACTAACTTATCTCATGGCTCAATATATCGTCACTGAGAATTCGCGGAGGATGTCATGTCAGTATGCAGTACTTACTGGATATGTCCCGAGAACATAGTAAATATTTGATCACATCTCGAGGTGACTCACTGATGAGATATGGATGATGCTGCTGCTGCTGCTGCCAATAAGTTACTCTTTATTCCTCGTCCCGCCTGCCTCGCTCACGTGATGATGTGTTGGTCTCCCTCACCCTCCATTGCCGTTCTCAAGACCTCGTCAAATCCGCTCGACCCCAGAGGCACTTCGTCTCTTAAGTCGCCGTTGATTAAGAGAGCCTGCGAGCTGCTCGACAGACTCGACGCGACATTCTTCCCCTGCGCCTTGTGTCACGACACCCCAGATTCTCAACCTTTACCACCATCCACCACCACCACCAAAGCTCTATCCCCCGCACTCGCGCTTCCGCCGAACCATGCACCTTGTCGCCTGTTCCCAGATGGACATCCCCCAAACCTACTGCTGAACATCCCGACCCAGCTCAAACCTCCCCCAAACATCCTTAAGCCCGGGTATCTGCCCGGGTGCCATGTCAAGCCATGGAAGCTGATTGGGATGAATTGTCGCGCATACCCGTGCCCCCTCCAAGTCCGCACGGGTTGCCGACGGTCGCGACCACAATAGCCTTTGACGATGTGATGGAACTTCTGTGGGCCGGAAATGAATATGTACGCCCGATCGACCCTTGACATACCGCTGGCGATACTGATCTAGCTTCTGGCTGCTTAGGGCCGAATTACCTCCTTCTACGGTCCCGAAATGCAGAGGTATACCTCTGTTCGGGCACATCCTGTGTCCGAAGGCGCGGTGCGACAGATCCTCTTCCATGAGAGAGGCGTATTATCGATTTCCTCGAAGAGTGCACACATGATCACCCGACGCGGCCTGACGCAGTGGCACATCGCCCACGAAGAGATGACCGACCTTCGCTGCATGAGTTTCACCGCACAAACGAACCGGATCATCGTGGCCGGATGCCAGAAAGTCATGTTCACCATCGATATCGACAAGGGGATTATTGTCGACAAGTTGCCGACGGATTACAACTACACCATGATGAAGAAGAGCCGGTATCTCTGCGCGGCCACCGACACCGGCTCCGTCAACGCGCTGAGTCTGAATGACTTCAGCGTCGTCAAGTCGTGGAAAGCCCACGGCACCGCCGTCAACGACATGGATGCGCGGAACGATCTGCTGGTCACCTGCGGCTTCTCGGTCCGACACCTGGGGGCCCCGATCGTGGACCCCCTCGCCAATGTCTACGACCTGAAGACCCTCTCCCCGTTACCCCCGATCCCCTTCCACGCGGGTGCCGCCTACGTGCGCATGCACCCGAAGCTGCACACGACGAGCTTTGTCGCCTCCCAGACGGGCCAGCTGCAGGTCGTGGATCTGATGAACCCCAATGCGATCAACCTGCGGCAGGCGAATGTTTCTTTCATGCTGGGCATCGACCTCTCGCCGTCGGGAGAAGCGCTCGCCATCAATGATGCGGAGTGCCAGATTCATCTGTGGGGCTCCCCGGCGAAGGTGCATTTCAACGAGATGAGCAAGGAAACCGAGTTTGCCGATGTCACGCCGCGGGCGCCGCCGGTCGACTGGTCTCCGGAAACGCCCCTGAATATGATCGGGATGCCTTATTACCACGACCGGCTGTTCTCAGCGTGGCCGAGTCATCTCGTTTTCGAGGTCGGTAGTCCCCCGGCCCCCGTCGACCAGGCTTTGCTCGCCTACCTACGCCCGGCCGAGATCGGCCATTATGCGGCGAACCCGAAGAAGACGCGGCGGTATCAGGTGGAGAACACCCGCGCACTATCTACAGCGGACACGGCTCTCATCGCTCCCAAATTCTTGAGTGAGAAGGCCAGGGAGCAGAGCAAGGTCAAGTCCGATGGTTCCGTCAGCGACACCACGGAGGCCTTGGCTGGTGCGAAGCTCAACGGCGAAGCTGAAGATGACCCGCTTCTTAAATACAGTAACGTCGAAATCAAGTACAGTCGATTTGGTGTTGATGACTTCGACTTCCGGTATGTCAGACAAGCATCTCTGGGTACACTCTCATGCAGGACTAACGTAGCTCAGATTTTATAACCAGACGACCTTCTCTGGTCTCGAGACACACATTGCGAATTCCTTTACCAACGCTCTCCTTCAACTCTTCAAGTTCATCCCGATGATTCGCAATGTTGCGCTCCATCACGCTGCTAGCTCTTGCATATTCGAGAGCTGTCTTCTGTGTGAGATGGGTTATCTATTTGATATGCTCGAGAAAGCCAACGGGCAGAATTGCCAGGCGACCAATCTCCTGAAGACCTTCAGTAGCTCTCGTGAAGCGTCCAGTCTGGGTCTATTTGAGGAGAACTTGACGACCAAGTCTCTTTCCACGGCCATCCAAGCGGTCAACAGGTTCTTTTTGACACAAATCTCTCACGACCACCGGATGATCTTACCCAGCTCGGAAGAACTCGATCAGCGACTCAACACCGTTGCCTCTGAGACTATACGATGCATGTGCTGCCAGAACGATATCGTCAGGCCTGGAAATTCCCTGGTCAACGAGCTGGTGTACCCCGCCATTGACCTAAAGCAAATTCGCCGGAACCCTGCCTTCCGCTTTTCCAACATCTTGCGAGCCAGCATAGAGCGAGAAACCCAGAATAGAGGATGGTGCAATTTGTGTCGGCGGTACCAACAAGTGAAGATCCGGAAAAGCATACACCGTATGCCTCCGGTCCTAATGCTCAACGCAGCACTGAGTAACCCCATCTGTCGCCGCCTGTGGGCTATTCCTGGCTGGCTGCCGGAAGAAATCGGAATTGCGGTCGACAATGGCAAGGCTCTGTGCTTTGAGGGCGATGAGCTCAAGTTGCGACTCCAGTCCAAGATGGCTGGGCTTGTGGTGTATGAACTGGTGGGGTTGGTTTGCGAGATCGACATCCCTGAGCATCAGAAAGCTCATCTGGTCTCCTTCATCAATGTCTCCATATCATCACCCGAGGCGGACCCTACGAACAAGTGGCATTTATTCAATGACTTCCTCGTGACGGAGGTTGACAGGGATGAAGCCCTCCGATTCAATCAACCGTGGAAAGTACCATGTGTCTTGGCTTACCAAATCAAGGATGGACGTCATTCCATGGACGACTCCTGGAAGAAATCGCTTGATACCACCCTTTTGTTCCGTGATTGGTCTATGAAGTAAGTTTACCTTCGAATTTTTGGTGGCGCCTCATTCATTAACGCCCCTCTCTAGTGCTGGCCAAGCCGTGGATTCGCGCGTGACACTTACCGAGGAGGAAAAGCCCACTCCGGGCACCCCTGTTGCGCTGGATACGGAGTTCGTCGATCTCGAAAAAGCGGAAATCGATGTCAAGGCAGACGGCTCGCAAGAGGTGGTACGGCCGAACAAGAGTGGCCTGGCTCGGGTGTCTGTTCTCCGAGGCTCCGGGCTTCGCGAGGGCGTTCCGTTCATCGACGATTACATCAACATCAAAGAACCCATTGTGGACTACGTTACGCAGTATTCCGGCATTAAGCCCGGGGACCTCGATCCCCGAACTAGCCCACACAATCTCGTTCCACTGAAAGTGGCATATAAGAAGCTCTGGTTGCTTCTGAATCTAGGCTGTGTGTTTGTCGGGCACGGCCTGGCCTCCGATTTCCGGAAAGTAAACATTCAGGTCCCCAAGAACCAAACGGTGGACACGCAGTATCTGTTCTTCCACCCTGGGAAGAATCGGCGTCTGAGTCTCCGATACCTCGCCTGGGCTGTGTTCAAGGAATTCATTCAAGAAGAGCCCACCGACAACAACAACCAAGGACACGACTCGATCGAGGATGCGCGGATGGCGCTGCGCCTCTGGAAGAAATTCAAGGAGTATGAAGACGCCGGGGTCGTATCCCAGATTCTGGAGGAGATCTTCCGCGAAGGGTCCAAGCTTGGGTTCCGGCCGCCCCCCAGGAACGGCACCACGACCGTCCTTTCTCGTCCCGGTACTGCGGTGACGATGCAGAATGGCAGCGGCCGCAACACTCCCAGCACCCCCGACGTTGGAGTCCCCGCCGGCAGCGCCCCTGCAACCCCGCGGCAAGCGTTTCGACGCTCGATCGCGTTGACTCCGAGTAACGGCAGCTTTGCGAGCCCTGCCGCAAGCGACATTTTTGGTGCCAGCCCGCTGAAGTAGGCAGTCGTCGGCTGTTTGAAGGAAGCGACAACGGTCTTCCAATCAGGACATGTTTGCTTTTGATTACACTTATACCATGCATCGCTTGATAGAAGGCGACCTTGATTGAGGGGACCCAATTGACTGTCGCAGTTGGGTATCGCTGACACATGGCTTGCCATGCTTCGCGCTTTAATCAGAAATAGAAATTACACCTAGATTCAATATTCTCATTGGGGTTTGCTGTAGTGACATGGGTAATTGCTTTTATTAGAACTAAGCGACGTGTCCATCAAACTGGAACATTATTGACGAATATCTCCTCGGTGACTGGAAGAACTGGTGGTGGGTGGGGAATGACGTGGTTGCGGGAGGATCTCAGATCAACTCAACTCAGCTCAACTCAACTCAGCTCAGCTCGCGGCTTCCACAAACTCCCTGCCCAATCTCTCTCTCTTCACTATCTCCCCCTTCACTCTCATCAACCAGCCTGTTGATGGGCAAATAGA